GAGAGGAGCCCACCACCACCAAGGAAGCAGAGACCCAGCAACAAGAGATAGCGCAGTGGGCTTCCCAGCCCACAGAGAGAGAAAGCTGAGTTGGGTGCCTTTGGGCAGAGACTGAGGGCCAGGGAGAAGCGTGCCTGATGCACAGTTGGGGAGAGGGTATCCTGAGGGAACAACTGTATCCTGAGTGTTCTTGAGCCTGAATTGTAACTGTTATTTCCCTAATAAACCCCATAATTGTGAGTATGGTCTGTGAGTTCTGTGTGGCCATTGCAATGGATTGTCGAACCCAGTAGAAAGGGCTGTGGGAGGGATAGTTGGTGTCAGAAATGGTAGAGATGGCAGAGAGAAGAGGCTTGTGTGGCCTCTACCTCATAGGAATCAGCCTTGGGTTGTTGATCTTGGTTCTCCTTCTTCCTTGTGGGGTTGGAGGAGGTCAGACACCTCCCCCAAGCCGTTTTTACATTTATTTTAATGTTCAAAGTGTCCCAGATTTTTATTTATTTAAAATACAATGCAGCAAGAGAAAGAGAGCAGGCAAGCATTAGGGATCTGAGAGACATCTCTTACACAAACTCCTCAAGGTCCTCATTCGCACATGGATTGTGTTCTGTCTCTAGATTGAACCACCAATCTGTGCTAGGATTCTTGGCTTCAGGAGAGCTCAAAGCAGAAGTTCTCGGTGGGGTTTTTTTTTTTTTTTTTAATGTCCTTTTGGTCATGTAGTCAAGCCACGCACTCTAACTGGTTATGCCAGTTGAAAACCTGCAGTAAACAAACTGTGGAGTTTACCCAGGGGAGTTTCAGATTTTCAACGGCATATCATAATCCCCACTGCAAAGCCAGACATCCAGGCATCCCCAGAGATAGAGATGGAGCTATTCTAGTCCAGGTGTAAATTAACTCTCTCCTATGGGCACACACACACATACACGCACACACATAGACTCATGAGTTTATTCTGATACCTCCATTTCTACTCCAACTCCATAGGTTTTTATTTCTTCCCATTTTTTTGTTTTTTTTTCCCCCTGTTCTTAGCAGTTGAGTTTATGATTCAAGGTTTTTTGTTTTTCATAACGCCAAACATTTTTTTTAATTGTACTTTAGATGAAGGTTTACAGAACAAACTAGCTTCTCATTAAACAGTTAATACACGTATTGTTTTATGACATTAGTTAACAACCCCACGACATGTCAACACTCTCCCTTCTTGCCCTTGGGTTCCCTATTACCAGCTTTCCTGTCCCCTCCTGCCTTCTAGTCCTTGCTTCTGGGCCAGTGTGCCCCTTTAGTCTCATTTTGTTTTATGGGCCTGTCTGATCTTTGGCTGAAGGGTGAACCTCGGGAGTGACTTCGGTATTGAGCTAAAAGGGTGTCGGGGAGCCATACTCTCAGCGTTTCTCCAGTCTCTGAAAGTCTGGTCTTTTTTTATGACATAACTCCAAACATTTGTTTGAGAATATTTAATTCAGTTTTGAGTACTATGTACCATTTTCTTCTGCATTATGTTTGCTTTGTGGTGGTGAATTTTCATTAGCTGAAACCTTTTATCCTCATTTTCTGTTTTCTTTTTACATTAGTTTTGTCAGGAAAGGAGACTGCTGCTTTCTTATTCATTGTCTGGGGACTTTGGTTCCTTTTCGAGATTCCTAGTTCGAAAATACCCTCTTCTGTCAGCATAATGAAGTGCAGTTTCCTTAATGGATGACTTTTTTGTTCAAGAAGGGTTGATGTGTCCTGTGGCTCTATTTTGTTTCTGCAAAATCCTTAATTTTTCTTTCTTCTTTTCCCTCATCACCATGCCTCCAAAATCACATGAGCATCTTAATTGATGCAGAAAAAGCATTTGACATCCAACACTCTTTCATGATAAAAACACTCAACAGGAATAGAAGGGAACTTCTTCAACCTGATAAAGGGCATTTATGAAAAACCCACAGTTAATGTCATACTCAGTGGTGAAAGTCTGGAAGCTTTCCCTCTAAGATCAGGAACAAGACAAGGATATCTGCCTCTGCCACTTCTGTTCAACATTGTACCTGAAGCTTTAGCCAGAGAAATTAGGCAAGAAAAAGAAATTAATGGCATCCAAACTGGGAAGCAAGAAAGTGACTTCTCAAGTGAACATTGGCTTCTTTGTATCTGGTCATTTTATCCTCTATTATTTTATTTTTAAAATCACAATATTGCATTTCAGCTTTCCTCTAAGATGTTTTTCCTTCGACTTGCAAAAATTAATTCTTTCTATATCTTATGTTTTTATTTTTGTTCCACTTTCCTAAGTGGATAATCATATTTTTGTCCTGATTAAATTTTGTCCTAATTATGCCTGGACACTACTATAACTGATTGAAGTCACTTGATTCCACAGAGTACTTATAGATCCCACGTGAATCAATTAGAATGTTTGAAGTCACTTGATTCCGCAGAATGCTTCTAGATGCCACCTGAATCAGTTAGAATGTTTTCATTCTCAAGAAACAGAAAAACATTATTCAAACTGATATAATAATAAAATAATTTATGATATAATATAGGAAATCCAGAGGTTGAATGGACTACAGAATAGGTTGTTAGAGTGGCTCAACATTTTCATTGAAGTCCTCGGTTCTTTTTATGTCTCCATTCTGTCTTCTTGGCATTGGTTTCATCTTGAAGTGGATAGAAAGATGGCCACAGAGTTCTACAATCAGAACAGGAATGTCCAGAGGAAGAAAAAGGCCATTTCTTTCTGCGTCTTCTTTACAAACAAAACAACTTTTTCCAAAATCTTTTCCTTATGCTAGTATTAGATCATGCCCGTTCCTAAACTAATCATTTGGAAATGGGATTACCATGTGTGTTAGTTTCCAAGGGCTGTTGTAAATGATCACAAACTAGGGCATATTAAAAAACCAAGTCTGTCTCGGAAGCAGTATGGCCAGAATGCTCATTAAAAGCTAGGATGGTGAGACTTCGTCTCACATACTTTGGACATGTTATCAGGACAGACCAGTCCCTGGAGAAGGACATCATGCTTGATAAAATGGAGGGTCAGCGAAAAAGAAGAAGGCCCTCAATGAGATGGATTGACACAGTGGCTGCAACAATGGGCTGCAACAATTGTGAGGATGGGGCAGGACTGGGCAGTATTTCATTCTGTTGTACATAGGGTCTCTATGAGTCAAAACCGACTCGACGGCACCTAACAACAAAAACAACAACAGAGCAAATTATCACAAACTTAAAACAACAGAAATTTATTCTTTTACAGTTCTGGAGAAGTTCAAAATCAAGATGTCGGCAGGGCCATGCTCCCTCTAAAAAGTCTGGGGAATAATCCTTTCTTGTTTCTTCTAGCTTCTGTTGGTTGCCAGCGATGTTTGGGTTCCTTGGCCTATGGCAGCATAACTCCAGTCTCTGCCTTCATCTTCCTTTTATGTCTGTGTGTCTGTCTGCACAGACATAGAGGGAGCACATGTGTTTGTCTGCATGTTTGTTCCTCTCCTTAGAAGAACACCAGTTATTGTGTTTAGAGCCCACCCTAATCCAGTATGATCTCATCTTGACTTGATTACATCTGCAAAGACCCTATTTTCAAATAAGGTCACATTCACAGGTTCCGAGTAGACATGAATTTTGCAGAACAGTGTTCCACCTAGAGCTCAGCTGCTAACCAAAAAGTTGGCAGTTCAAATCCACCAGCCTCTCCTTGGAAACGCTACAGAGCAGTTCTACTCTGTCCTATAGGGTCTCTATGAATTGGAATCAACTTGACGACAATGGATTTGGTATTCCACCTAGTGCTCAGTGTTAGACTTAGCCTAATTATTTGAGGTAGAAAGGATACTGGGGAGCCCACTTCCACGATTATTACTCCAACCCAAAAATTTGCCTTAGTAAAGGTAACGATACTAAATGTAAGTAAAAAGGGTAACTAGGAGTAGATAACAAAGATACGTATACAGCCTATATATTAAATGTTAATAAATACTCTAACAGTTGAGAGAATTTAAAATTATTTGATGTATTTTAAATAATCACCTAATATTTTTGAGATGTCTATGAAAAAAGGTAATCATTAGTGTAGCCTAAAATATTCTAAATTCTAATTAGCAGATTCCAAATTAATATTTTTCCCCATAAGTAAACATTTGGAACAAATAATTTTTATGATTGGATAGATCGTGATGATTTCGTATATTGCCTTCACTACTTTTTTATGATTGGGGGTTATTTAAAAGTTAGGGTCACTCTTCTAGTAAAGTACAAGATAATCAGTGTTCCCCAAACAAACAGCTAGTAGTTATCTGACCTAGTTTATAGGAATATCAGTTTATGATTTTAGGCTTGTCCTTCCATAAAACAGATTCTCAAACTTTACCATGCATCAGAATCACCTAGATGGCTTATTAAAACTCAAATTTCTGGGTACAACCTCTAGAGTTTCTGATTTAGTAGGTCTAGGGTGGGATCTGAAATTCTGCATTTCTAACAAGTTGCCACATGTTGCTGATGTTGTTGGTCTGGGGACCACACTTTGAGAAGCACTGCACTAAAATGTAGCCTTTCCTACTGATCAAAAGCAAACTGCTTGTTAAAATAATCTGGTTGTACCTCTAGAAGGTTGCAATTTATAGGTTGGACATTGTTCTGTTGTACCTATTAAATTTCTATAAGAATATTTTCAACACTTTCACATATAGAACAGAAAGAAGCTAATACTTCCTATTAAAGACTATGATCTTATCTGATAACTTTTGATTCATTACTGTCAAAAATAACACTTTTAGAGAGGTTTTTAAGGTAGAAAGTACCTCATTCTCTTGAGATATGTAAATAGTTTACTTTGTAAATTGATTGATCTATTTAATGACAGGAACTAGGTTATGAATCCTTTTGTAATGTGGATAATGATCTTCCAATTTATACTGGATCTCCTTAAATCTAGAAGAGAGTTCTTGTAACAAATATGTCCTAAGCGATAATCCATTTGCAAACTATTTTTTTTAATATTTCAGAGCTGATACTTTTTCAGAAAGAACAATTACTTCATCGCTTATATCTGAAGAAAATGAAGGTAACTTTGAAGATAGAGTTTCTTCATCAGATGAAATCGTATGTGCAGGAAATAGTGAAAGTGGATATCAAGTAAGTCACTTAAGTGAAAGTCATATGCCATTGTCATGTGGGACTATCTCATCTTTGTCAGTATTTCTTTCAGAAGTAAAGGAATATTTTCAAAGTCATAGAAAATATCTGAAAAATGAATATGAAACGATAGAATTTTCATCAAAGAGATTATTTTCAATAATGAAAGCCAACAAAAATAAAAACTTGAAGTTTTCTTCTGATCTCAACTTTTCAAGAACTCCTAGATTTACTATAGAAAATGAAGATCCAGATGTGGCCCCATGCCCTCCTGCCCACCTATATCTTTCCAGAGAACAAGTTAGGCTTCTGGAAGAAAATGTGAGAAGTCAAATTCCTTTCAAATCAAAAGCTATATTAGAGAGTAAATCTACTCATCTATATTCAAGATCTCATGAGTCCTTGATTCAGAATCAACATTCAATTAGAATGGGTATTTCTGCCCAGGCACAAGATTGTTTTTTAGGACAAAATGCTGTTCAGAATGAAGCCCAACAACTTGTTCAGAACCAAGAATCAGTGAACAGCCAGCCTACTATCAAGGTCAGATACTTTGCTCAGCCTCAAGATTTGATACAGAAACCATTTTTTGGCAGCACACAAGACTCCTTCCAGACCCAAGGCATGGCTAGGAGCCAACATTTGATCACAGTCCCATATTCTGTTGTGATTCAAGATTCAATCAAGAGCCTAGAGTCTGATAAAAAACATTTAGAGGAGGCTCAATATTCTGTGTGGTTTGAAGATTCAAACAAGAATAAATACTTAATCAACAGGCAAAATACCATTCTTGAAAATGCTGAATTTCTGGTTTTAACTCTAAGTACAGATTCAGTTACTGATGGGATGCCACAGCTAAAGAGTTTAAAGCCAAAGGAGCAGCAGCAAGTTTCATCAAAGTCAAACCAGGATTCTGTAGATAGCTCCGTGCCTCTTTCACCTACCATAAAAAGGCAGAAAAACAGGAGAAAAACATCAGAAAGAAAAAGTAAAGTCAGTCACCAAGTTCCATCTCTAAAGGCGAAGAAAACACCAATTTCACAGGTATTTCAAATCACAACATGTCACCCTTCGAAAAGTAGCAAGGGGTTAGGAAGTAGCAATCACAATGAGATGAAGGAATTACATCAAATTGAAGGTGTATCAGATATAGCTTTGCATCTTATTTGTGTTTCCAAGCATGTTCCTCCTTACGTTAAAAAGTATTTCAGAAAAAAGCTAGTGAAAGTCGTGCCAGATTTAATGAAATGTAGACATTTTCTCTGGAAGCAAAATAAGTCACCAGATGCAGAGAAAATAAATTATGCAGGTTCTTTTGAGGACAGAGAAATCTCAGGCATTATTAAAAATGTAAAGCAGCATAGCACAGAAAATAAAGGACTAAAAAATATTTCACTAGAAATTCTACCTCAGGTCACACAGTCTTTCAACGCCAACACTTACCAACTAAAAACACCTTGGTATTCGTTAATGGAAACAAACTTGAAGAATAAAGAGTCTCCTAAAGATCCAGCTGATGTTGTGGCTATATCTGAACCTATGCAGAAATTTGTTTCCTCTCCCAAAATGGAGTCAAGCAGAAGAAGCATGAAAATATGTGAGGACCTAAAAAATACAGATAATTCCCATGCTCAACTTTCAGAAGGACAGACGTTACTAACTAGTACATCAAAAATGCAAAGGAGCTTTCCAAAAGAAAATACACAAGAGCAAAAAGATCTAGAAATTGTTGTGGAGACTTCAGATATCAATTTGCACATTTCAGTAGGAACCAAAAAGCATAAAAGCAGTGACAAATTGGCACGCGTAGAAATTCGAGTGAGTTCGGAAGGTGTAATTCTAAAGGAGAAGAAATCATCAGTACGTAACATTACAGACCATGATAACCTAAGTCCAAGTGAGAAACTGGAATGCAATACTAGAAGCAACATAAAAAATATACATCAAGAGAAAATACCAGATACATTTCAGAATGCTGCTTACACTACCATTTCTGAACCATCTGATTTGGAAATGCACAGCAGAATAAAATCTGAGACAGATACATCAAGAATAATAAAGCTCAGTCATTCAGCAGTAGAACAAGAGAGGTCACCAGATGAAGAGAAAACATGTAAGGCAAAATACACTGATAAGGAATATATACGAGACTTTTTTAAAAATCCACAGCTATGTGACAGAGAGGAAGAACAAGAAGTTTTGCAAGAAGCAGCTCCACAGTTGACACAAGATTCCAAGATAAGCACACATCTAAAGCAGCAGCCTGAAAATGCCAAATGTGAAATGGAACAGAGCTGTTCAGGAAGCAGAAAAACCCCAAATAAAGAGCAAGCAGGACATCCACAAACACTTTTTACAGAAACTATTTTGGAGAATACTCCATGCCTCACAACGGATCCATTTCAAGTTGAGAAGCTGAAGCAAAGCACAGACAGACATACAGGCAGAGAATATACTGCAGATCCACAGAATCCACTTACATTGCCAGAGAATTTACCAGGCAGAGAACTTTTAATTGAAACAACTGAGCGTGGTGTCCCAGTTGGTGGAAACCATAGCAAGTCACCAGATGGTCATATTGCCGATAAAAGGGAAAACTTAAAAAGAGGTTTACCTGAAGTTGCTCTGGGATCTTTTAATATCCACGTGCTTATGTTACCATGTTTTAAAAGGCCAAACATCAGAAAAAAATTATCAGGAACAAAAAGTATACCCAGTCATAAATATGGAATTATGAAGGTAAAGAAGCCAGCAATCTCACTGATACCATACATCAATGGACATGGTACTCCAAGTCATAGAAAGAAATCAGGATACAATTTAAAACATGTAATTAAACAAATTCTACAAGGTAAAATTGTGGCAGATGTGCTTCCTGACATGGCTATTTTGCCTAAGGGTAGAATGTGTACCAGATTAAATGCAGAGAATCATAGCCAGACCAAGCTAAAGCAAGAGGAATTACAAGTGGAAAGGGAAGAAAGGTGTTCAGATTCCACCAATAAGGGAAGTGTCTCTAGAGACACACCAGAAACTAAATTACAAAATGAAGTGAACAGAGAAGCTTCACCAAAAGCAATTCCTCACGATAGCTGCAATCTCAGATTTGATGCATATCCGGTGAAGGAACTTAAAACAGAAAAAGAAATGCAGCAAAGAATTCCATTCACAGAAACCACTATGGAGTCTGTTTACTCCCCCATATTGAATCCACTTCCTGTTGAGAATATTCAGAAAAGCCTAACAACACCAACAGACGTAAAATACACTGAAGATTCTAAGGTACCTCCTCTGACATCAGAAAAATCACTGACTGGAGACCCTGTATACCAAACAAGAGAAAGTGAAGTTCCAGATACTAGAAGTTATACAAGAGAAATGGGTTACAACATTGCAGACAAAACAGAATTACCAAAAGATTTACCAGCATCTTTCCCAGAGACATTTATTTTCTGCATGCCTGCTCTATCTCATTCTAAAGGACAGAAAAACAGAGTAAGATTAGCACACTTGAAAAGGACAGTGAGGCCCAAATATGTACCTATGAAGGCAGTGAAGCCATCAATGTCACAAATATTTATTATCACTGCATCTCATAACTTTGGTCATAGAAAGCAATTGAGATCCAACTTTAAGACCAAAGCTAAAAAGATAAATCAAGCTAAAGGATTGGTAGATGAATTTTCAAATACCATTTGCTGTTCCATGCATGGCAGATTAGAAGCAGAGACAAACAGGTGTGATCATGCTCAGTTAAAACAAGGACAACTAGCAGATGAAGAGAGATCAGGGTATGCTGATTCCTCTGATCAGAGCAGTGTATCCTACCCTAGAGAAGAAAAAGTACAAGATGGAGAGGAAGAAGAACAAAAAGACTTAGCAGAAGCAGCTCCACAGCATACCCAACACCCCAGATCAGATGCATATCAAATCAAGGAGAACCACTCAGCACTGAACTGTTTAACACAGAAGCTACCTATTGATGGGCAAGATGCACAGTACCAAGCATGTTTTCCACAAACTGTTTTGCAGGCTAGCCCCATAATGGATCCTAAAGAAGCTGAAATACTGCAGAAAACCAACAAACCAGAAAATGACATAAAAGTCCCTGCAGCTCCTAAGATTCCATCTCCAAAAGCAGGGGACTCATCACTCGATAAACTTTTGAACACTGCGACAGAGTGTGGTTTACCATCTGGTAGAAACCCTAACAGGGAATTAGATTCTTATTTTGTGGAAGAAAATTCACAGTTACCAAAAGATTTGCAACTGACACCCCTGCAGTCTTCTGATTCCTTTAAATCTTTTGTTTCTGAATCTAAAAGACAGAAAAATACATTAGCAAACAAGCAAACAGCAATGAGTTGCAAGTGTACAACTATGAAAGCAAAAAAGCCACCTATTTCACATATGCTTGATGGAAGATATAGCAAACAATGCCATATTTACCTGAAGACGAAAGATCCACCACAAAGTAAAAATGTAGCAGATTCACATTTGGATGTCATTCATTCCTTAGTGCCTATTTTGACCAGTATCAAAACAAGTAGCAGCTTAAATGAGACAGATAAGCAAATGAGACAGATAACAAGACTTGATCATATGCAGCCAGTCCAGGATAAATCACCAAATGGAAGAAAAGTATGGTTCCCAGATTCTGTTGATATGAGTAGTATATCCAGCAGTGTGAAATATGAAAACGAAGAGAAAGGAAAACACAAAGCTTTACCGGCTCCAGAGAATAACCAACACTTCAGGTTCAGTGCATATGAGAAGGATCATGACCTTCTCAAATCAGATGAGGAAGCGAACCAACTAGGAAGTACCAATATTCAGGTGCAACCACAAACACACTTTACACAAACTATTTTGGATTCTACTTCATGCCCTGTAGTGAATCAGTTTCAATTTGAAAAGCTAGAGAAGCATGCTAGTATTTCACCTCCAAAGTCAGGGGAGTCAAAGACTGATGAAATCATACCTTCTGCAAGAGAATGTGGTGGCTCATCTGATGGGAACCATCAGAAGGAACAGGATGGTGGGGTTGAAAAGAAGAAGACAGTGACTTTCGATGTCAGTATGCCTGCTTTAGCTACATTCAAAGGGAAGAAAAACTTCAAAAAATTTTCAGACATAAAAACTTCAGTGAATTCCAAATACGGTGTTATAAAGGCAAAGAAACCATCAAATTCACACATGCTCAATATCAAGGGTGACACTAGCTCAGACCATAGAAAAGAATTGGAATGTAACTTGGCAACCAAAATTAAAGAGACGAATCAAGGTAAAAAAGTGGTGGATAAAAAATACCCTTTTATAGCTATTACACCTGAAATTAATATGTATAGCAAAATAGAAACAGAAAAAGACATGTTAGGAGGAAAAAAACCCGGTTCTACACAAGTAAAGCAAGAGATATCATCACATGAAGGGAATATTACTTCAGATGACACCAAAGAAACCGATCTTCAAGGTGAAGAAGAAAGTGAACAGGAGGCATTATTAAAAGTAATTCCACAGTTCAGTCAACATTTCATATTCTCTTCAGGTCAGACGAAAGGGCTTGACCTTTATGAATCAGACAAACAAGGAAGTAGGAGAGTTTTGTTTGTTACAGAACAAGTTGTACCACAACAGGTGCAGCCTCCAGATCCAATTCAGCTTGAGGAGCCAAAGAAAAGCCTCCAGAAACAATACAGCACAATATGTACAATGAGTTCAAAGCATCCTCCTTTAGAGTCAGAGGAATCACTAAAAATTGGCGATGTATTAATTGATGCAGTAAAATGTGGTGCCCCAGTTGATAGAAGCCATACAGGGGAACCGCACAGTCCTGGCAAAGAGGAAAAGGCAGAGTTAAAACATCTACAAGCAACTGTCCTAGAGTCTTTGGATTTTGCTACACCTGATCTATCTGACTCTAAAAGGCAAAGAAAGACAATTAAATACAGAGCCTTAAAAAATAAAAAAAGTCTCAAAGGTGCAATTATGAAGGCAAAGAAGGCATCAATTTCACAGATATTTAATATTCCAAGGTGTGGTCATCTAAAAAATCTACCTTCAAAGACGCAAAAATCACACATCGCTGAATTTTTAATTCATGTAAGAGACTCTGGGGTCCTAGCTGATGAATTTCAGATGAGAGTTCTGGAAGATCTAACTACAAAGAAAAAGGAAGGACTAGCATCACAATTACTGGCAGCAATTCTGGAGTCTTTGGATTTCTCCATGCTTGCTTTACCTGCATCTAAAAGAAAGAGAAACAATTTAAAACTTACAGACAAGAGAAATAAAATGAGTCTGAAATGTGCCACTTTAAAGGCAAAGAAGACACCGATTTCTCAGACATTGAGTATCACAGGATGTGGCACACCAAGCCATAGAAGGCGATTAGAACACAACTTCAAAACCATGATGAAACAAGGTAGACTTGTGGCAGATATATTCAAAAATGTTATTTCCTCTCCCGTGCCTGTTTCACTTGGCATTAAAATGCATAATAGAATAAACGTAGAGACAAACATGCTGTGTAAAACAAGAATCAGTCGTGAACTGCAACAGCACGAGCAATCACCCAATGAAGCGAGAGCCTGGTGTGTGGATTACAGTGATAAGAAAGGCAGTATCTCAGATGGCACTAAAGAAGTCAAAGACCAAGGTAGAGAGGAAGAGAATGCTGAAGGCCTGCTAGAAGCAGTCCCACTGAATTCCCAACACTTCAGTTTCAATGTTCGTGAAATGAAGGAGCCTAACTTTGTGAAATCAGACCTAGGAATGAAGAATTTAGAAAGTAAAAAAACCCCAGAATCATTTACTACAGCTCAAGGGCTACCGCAACAAACACTTGCCACAAGAAGCCTATTAAAGAGTATTTCTTATTCTATTTTGGATTCATTTCCATTTGAGATGCTACCAAAAAAAATGAAAACACAAAAAAGCTTTCAAAATATAGGGAGTCCAAATATTTCATATTCAATGCCAGGGAAATCAATTAGTGAATTTTTAAATGTTACAACAAAGAGTGAAATCCCCTTTGAAAAAGGCTCTAGAAAGGAAGTTGCTAGTTCTATTCCAGATGAAAAGATGAGGTTACAAAAAGATTTACAAGTAAGAACCCTAGAGTTTTTTGATTTTCCCATGCCTATATTATCAGAATCTAAAGGACAGAAAAACACGGCACAGGTATCAGACAAAAAAAGTACGGTGAGTACCAAATGTGAAACTTTGAAGCCACAAAAGCCACCAATTCCACAAATGCTTAGTGTCGCTAGACGTGTTAACCTAAACCATGAAAAAAAACAGAAATGCAACTTTGAAGTCAAGATGAAAGAAATGCAGCAAGGGAAAAGTATGCCAGATGCCTTTTTGACTACTCATGTCTCTTCTGTACCAGTTTCACCTGACATTAAAACTTGTAACAAAATAGAAACAGAGACAAACAGATTAAGAAATGTAAGATCCAGTGATGTACCACGTACCTATTTCATTGATAAGGGCTGTACCTTAAATGACAGAGAAGCAAAAGTGCAAGAAGAGGAAGAAGACAAAGCTTTACTAGAAACTTTTCCATACTGCACCCAACAAGCAATGTCCTCTGAATATCAAAAGAAAGAGCCAGACCTTGTTAGATCAGATGCAGATGTGAACAGTTCAGAAAATAGAAAAAATCAAGAATTGTTTATTACAGAGCAAGAGGTGCCACAACAAACAACTTTTCCAGAAACAACTTTAGAGACTATTTCCTGTGCTTTAAGGGATCTGTTTCAAGTCAAGACATCAGAAAAAAACATCACAACGCAAAAAGGTGTAACATCTCCAGTAGATCCAAAGATTTCATCTCAAACTTTAGGGGAATCAGCGACTAGTATACTTTTACACAACAAAATAGATAAGTCATGTGAGGGAAGCCATAGATGGGAACTTGATGGTCATATTGTTGAAGGAAAAGCAAGCACACCAGTCTTGGAGTCTTTTGATTTCTCTAGGCCTGCGTTATCTGAATTTCAAGGGCAGAGAAATGCAGCACAAATCCCTAAGTGTGTACCTGTGAAAGCAGAGATGCCATCAATTTTAGAGACAATTAATATCACTAGGTGTGGTGCCCTAAGCTATAGAAAGAAACCAGAATGTAAGTTTGAAAACATAGTCAAAGAAATATCTCAAGGTATGTCAAATATATTCATGAATTCCTATCTTTCACCCATTTCTGTTTCACCTGGCATCAAAATTCGTAAAAAAATAAGAGCAGGAAAAGATGTGTTAAGAAAAACAAGCAACACTGCACAGCTAAAACAAGATAAAGAGAAGAGATTATTTGCAAATTCCTGTAATAAATGGAGTATCTCAAGCAACACGTTAGAAGCAAGATGGCAAAATGAAGAAGAAAAAAAGAACAAAGACGTTTTATTTGAAGCAGATCTACAGTTCCTAAAGAGCACAGAAAGTAGAAAAGACCCAAATATGCTTATTACAGAGCAAGAAGCACAGCAACAAACTCTGGTTTCAGAAAATGTATTGAAGTCTCTTAGTTCTTCTATAACAACTGCATTTCAGACTGAAAAGCTGAAGATCAGCCCATCCCAAGAAAACGTACTGTATACCAGAGATGGAAAGATTCCATGTCCAAAATCAGAGAAAGCAATGGTTGACAGTCTTGTAGTTGATAAAACAGAGTATCGTACTGTATTTGATGGAAACCCTACAAGGAAGCTGGACATTCATAATGCAGTTTCCCTACAACCTGAGGAAGGAAAGGAAAACATAAAAACTCAGAAAGAGGTAAAATACACAGTTGATCAAAATATCCTCCCTGCCAAATCAGGGAACTCAGTGCTTGGAGATCCATATGATGAAACCCCTTGGAGGAAACTGAATAGTCATATTGCCAAGAAAAATGAAGAGATGCAAAGAGATTTGCTACCAATGGACATGATGTCTGTTTTATCTGATTCTAAAAGGCAGAAAAATTTATTAAAATTTCCAGAAAGGAAAGATATTCTGGGTCCCAAATATGCAACTATGAAGGCAAAGAAGCTTCTGTGTTCAAAGGTGCTTAATATCCCCAAGCATGGTAATCTACACCATAAGAAGGAACAGGAACGCATTTTAAAATCTAACATAAAAGACATGCAACAAAATAAAAATATAGCTCATTCATTTTTGTCTCCCACACCTGTTTCAACTGATATAATTGTAGACATTGAAATGCATAGCAGATCAAAAGAAGAGACAGATGAAGCAAGAGTAAGAATATACAATTCTACTCACCCAGAATTAGAGCAGTCATCACATGATGGGGAAGCGTGGAAGGCCAGTTTGACTGATATGCAAAGCCGATCAAGCGACACAATGAAAATGAACCTGCAATATGAAAAGGAAGAGAAAAACCTTAAAACAATGTTAGCAGAATCAGTTTCACACTTCAGTTTCAGTGCACATCAAATGAAAGATACTGGCAAACCAGAATCTGAACTGAATAGTTCAGAAGTCAGGAAGACACAGGATTTGCTTTGTACAGTGCAAAAGATGAAGCAAGAAACAGAGTGTAGAACAACTGGATTGAAGCCTGTTTCTGGACATATGATGAATTTTCTTCAAGTTGAGCCAGTGAAACAAGGTCTCCATAGACCAGAAGGAAGAAAATATGTGTTAGATCTAAAGACTCCATTTCCAAAAGCAGGGAAATCAGAGATTGGTTTAATGCTATATGATACTCCCTGGGATATAATTCCTAGAAGAAAATGGGATAGTCCTATTCCTAAGAAAAGGGCATTAAATCAAAAAGACTCTTTAACAACGATCTTAAAACCTTTAGGTTTTTCTGCCCTTGTTTCATCTGAAACGAAAAGCCAGAACTACACAGAGTTTGTAGGCAAGAAAAGTAGAATTAGTCCCAAGCATGTAACTTTGAAGGCAAAGAAACTACCGATTTCACAGTTAATTAATATCCCAGGGTGTCACACAGGAGGTCATAAAAAGAAAAAGCAGCACAACTTTAAGTACACAACGAAAGAGAGGCAACAGAATGCAAGTGTGGGGGAAACATTACTCAGTACCACTCATCCTCCCATGTCTGTGTCACCTGATGTGAAAATAATTAACGTATCAAAAGCACACACAGACATTCCTAGATTAGACCTGTTCAGTGATCATCAGCTAACACACAATACATCATCAGATGAAGTGGAAGCTTGGTCTAAAGATTCTGTTGAGGAGAGGTGCACGTCAAGAATCAGGACAGAAGCAAAACAACAAGATAAAAAGGAAGAAAAAAATGACAAAGAAGCATTAGGGCATCGGAGTCGAGTTTCGTTACAAATGCAGATTGTGAAGGAGAGCATAAAAGCACAAAAGGTCATAAAATGTAGAGAAAATCTGAAGCGTTCATCTGCAAAACCAGAGAAATCAGTGATTGGAGAAATGTTTTTGAGCACAACAGAGCATGGTGCTTCTTGTGTTGAAAGCCGTAGGAGGAATATGGATGGTCAGATCATAGGAGAAAAGGTAGGCTTTCAAAAAGGTTTGCCAGAAAGTGTCCTGGAGCCTTGTGATTTATCTGTGCCTGTTTCATCTGAAAATAAAAAGCAGAGAAGTACAGTACAGCTACAAGACATGAAAAGAACTATGAATTACAGATATTTAACTACAAAGGCAAAGAAGCTACCAATTCCACAGTTATTTTACGTCACAGTATGTAGTTCTCCAAGCCATACGAAGGAACTAAAAAGCAAGCATAAATACAACATGAAACTGACCTTGCAAGAGAAACGCCAAGCAGGTGCATTTCTAAATACCAGTCGTTCTCCCATGCCTGCTCTACCTGCTATCGAAATGGATAAGAAATTAAAAGCAGAGGTGCACATGTCAAGACAAATAAACAATCTTATACAAACAAATCAAGAAAAATCAGATGACAGGAAAGCATGGGTTACATGTTCTAGTGACAAGAGAAGGTCCTCAAGAGATACAATCAAAGAAACATTGGAAGAGAAAGAATACCAAGAAATTGTACCAAAAGAAATCTCACCTTACATACCATCACTCAAGTCTGATACATACCAAATAAAAAAGCCTGACCTGGTCAAATCAAAAAATGAAATGGATAGTCCAGGAAGAAGAAAAGTTTGGGATTCTCTTGTGAGAGAACAAGATGTGCCGCAACAAACATCCATTCCAGAAATTGTTTTGAATTCCATTTCCTGCCACATAATGAATCAGTTTCGAGTCAAGAAGATGAAGGAAAGCCATCAAATACAAAAAGGAACACAAGTTACTGACAGTGCTAAGATTTCACAACCCAAATTAGTGAGTGATAAACTCTCATTTGATACAACAGAGAGGGACACTGAGTCTAATGGAACACTTCCAAAAAGTCTGGGTAGTTACGCTGCAGAAGAAAAGACAGAGTTAGTAGAACATTTAACAACAACTCTCTTGGAACCTTTAGATTTCCTCATGCCTATTTTATATGACTCTAAAAGCCAGATAAACCCAGTACAATTATCAGAAAAGGAAATTGTATTGAATCCCAAATGTCTAACTATGAAGGAAAAGAAGTCACCAATTTCACGGATACTTAAAATCAATGGACTGTTTCCTACGAAACATAAGAAGAAGCGTGAATCCAATTTTAAAACCAAAATGAAAGAGAGGTTGCGAGGTAAAAATACAGCTGATACATTTCCAAATACCATTTACTTCACACCAGATACCTCTGCTATTAAAAAGCAAAGCAGATTCAAAACAGAGATAGACACAACAAGAGTATCAAGGTTTAGCCATCTACAGCTACCACAAGTGGACTCACCAGTTGAAGGAATAGCAAGGCATTCAGATTCCATTGGAAAGGGTGGTGCTTCAAACATTTTAAAGAAAGCAAAATTACATGATGGAGAAAGTGAGGAAGAGAAGCAAGAACATCTAATAGAAACAGGTCCAGTGTATACCAAAACCTTCATGGTAAATGCCTATCTCATAATGGAACGTGATCCTGGCAAATCACAAGATGCCATTTTAGATGAATCTTTTTCCCCCAGAAGTCGGATCTACAAAGGGAATCCAGAAAAAAATTCAGAAATTCAAAAAAATAAAAATATGACAGAAAGTCTCAAGAGTGGACTCCCAAAGATGGAGAAATTGGAAATTTGTGTAGAACTAAGTAAACCAACAGGCGATGCTATATCTAGTAAATCTGGTAAAAAGATAAGTGGAAATTCTGTTTTAAAAGAAAGAGCTCATTACAACAGTTTAGCAGGAATTGTCCTAGATTCTGTTGGCAGACATTTGCCTGCTTCAGAAAAAATTAAAAGACAGAATGGTAGCCTAAATATAGCTGGCATGTCAAGTGCAAGTCCCAAAGGTATACCTTTGAAGGTAAAGCAATCACTTAATACCACAGGTGAGGCTACTGTAAGCATTAATAAGAAACAGGAACAGAACTTTAAAGCGCAGAATATAGAAGTAGAGAAAGATAAAGCTGTCTTCAATGCAGAGCTAAATTTTATATGCCCTTCTATACCTATTTCACCATACATAGAAATGGAGCAATCACCTAGTACGTGGAATATATATACAGAATCTTCTGATACGAGAAATGCTCCAAATAAAGCAAAAGCTAGAGAGAAAGAAGAGTATGAGCAACCGGTTTTGTTTACAACAGCTTCACAGTATACCCAGCCATCTGGGTTTGGGGCAGATCAAATACAAGAGCCTGACGCTTTCAAATTAGAAGTACCCTTCATCGATACAGACTGCCCCGAGGACATCACTCCTCATAAAACAGAAATTGGTTTAATAGAACAGGAGACAAAGATGGCAGTTGTAGAAGAGATTCTTCCAGAGTCTGTTTTTTTCTCTAAGATATGTCAGCCTCATACTGAAAAGCAGAAGATAAAATTTACAACTGCAAACTGGAAAACAACAGCAAATCCAAAGGTGCTGGTTCCAAAGGCAGAGAAATCATTCATTGATGCACATTGTATTAGAACAGTAGAGTGCAACAATTCAGTACAGCACAGAGAAGGAAAAGAAGTAGAAGGGCGAGGCCATTTTGCCTTGCATCGGAAACAGCAAGAGTCATATGTCTTAGGAAGTATCTGGGGTTCTGTTTATGCTGAAACACCTACGTATCCTGACATTACAAAACATAAAGATAAGGCAAAAATAGCACATATGAAAAACACTATGCATTTCAAACAAGTAAAATTGAAGACAAAGAAAGCACCAGTTTCCCAGCTGTTTAATACTGTTAGGAATGGTACTCGAAACAATAAAAAAGAACTGAGAGGTAACATTAGACAGGAAAAGTCACTCCAGCAGAGTAAAAATGTAGTAGATTTAGTTCTGAAAGCTATTTATGAGTCTGTATGCATTATTTCTCACGTTCAAAAGCCCAGAGAAGAAATAAATATGGAGAAACACAAACTGAAAGGGGAGGTACTCATTTTTCCACAGCTAAAGCTAGAGAAACTGCTAAATGGAACTCAAATGTTATCTTCAGGATCCATTAATAATTCCAGCAACGTTAAAAACCTCGAACAATATATGACAGAACAAAAACGTCAAAGCATTTTAGTAGATGTACCCCAACCATATATCCAACAGTTAAGGATTAGCTCACAACAAAGGAAGAGGCATCGTCATGTCAAATTCAAAGTAGATTTGCAGAGGAAGGTGTGCTCTGAACCAACTTCGCAGATAGGAGAATCTGATTACACTGCACTAGATACCCCAAGAAGCAGAAGAGGAGAAGTCTGCATTAAAAGGCAAGAGGCCCAGGAACAGAATTCTTTCCTGAAGCAAGAAATGCAGAAAGTAGAAATGATTCCTGAGACCAGTCTGGAATCTATTCCTTGCCCCATGAAGGAACCTCTTCATTTAGAAAAAACAATAAGCGTCAGGACAAAACAACATTTAAAATTCTCAACTCCACAGAAGAAAAAAGAATTGAAGTTAAGTAATAGTCTATCAAGTTCAAAAGAACAACAATTTCTTATTCCGGGGGTAAAGGCCCGGCAACAGGAGCCTTTCACAAGCATTATTCTGGAGCCCATGTCCTCTTGCATGCTGGATCAGCTTCACACTGAAAAGCCAAAGGAAGATGTAAAAATAAAAGATATAATTTTAAAGATTTCAGATCAACAGGTAAAGAAAATATCAAATGAAGCAGATATTTCAAGTATGGATCATATGTCAAGAAATACAGAAAAACTACTTTTACTTATTAAAGAACAGGAGAAGAAGAGGAAAAAAATTAGAAAGAAGAAAAAATTTAAAATAGCAGCAGACATGAAAGAAAAAGTGAGTTTCAGTCCAGTTCTAGAGTATTCACCAGCTGGAGTACAACTTATTAACACAACAGAGCATGTTGGCACATTCAAGCAAAGAGATGGAAAGGAATTGAACAGGAGTTTGGCCATGCGAAAAGGACAGCACACGTTGTGTGATCCAGGGATTATCTTGGATTCTGTTTATACAAATGTACGTATTTCTCCTGAAGCTATTGGCCACAAAGATAAAAGAACAGGTATCATGAAAAGCACCATATATCCCAAAAGGATAAAAATGAAGGCAAAGAGAACACTTGTTTTCCAGTTACTTAATATTACAGGATATGGAAACCAAAGCAATAAGAAGGAACTGATAAGTAACATTAAGAAGCAGATGAAGGAATTCCAGCAAGGTGAAAATGTAGCCAATTTATTTCTGAAAACTACTTGTGATTCTGTATATATTCCATCTCATGTTAAAGGGTTTATAGAAGTAAAAAGGGAAAAAGACAAGAAAAGAAAGCAGATCATCATTCCTCCACACCTAAAGCTGAAGAAATCACTAAATGAAAGAAAAATGTCACCTTCAGAGTCCATTTATAAGAGTGATTTATCAAGAAATACTAAAAAAACAAAGCGATGTATTAGAAAGCGAAGAAGAAGGCACCCAACTATTTCACTAGGCATTCTCCCACAATACAGAAATCAGTCAGTGATTAGCAAACTGAAGAAGGAGCCTAACCAGGTCGAATTAAAAGTAGATTTGGAAAGAGAAGCGTATCCTGACCTATCTTCACAAAAAAGGGAAATCAGTTACACTTGGTTCAACATCCCAAGGATTAGAACAAATATAGAATTTGACCTCCTTATTAAGCAAAAAGTAAAGGAAGGTGATGTAGGCATTGCCAAACATTTATTTTCAATTCCATGGGCAAGAGAAAGATCAGAGAAAACTGATATTTCATTAAGTTCCAAAGTACAAAATACGCTTTTTACAGAGATAGAAACATCTCAACAGAAGACTTGCAAGGAGCAAGAAATGCTGAAACAGGAAAGTATTTCAGTAACAAATCTGAGGTCTGTTACTTGTCCCATTGTGGAACTTCTCCCTCTGGAAAACACCAGACAGGTGACTAAGGAAGAAGATGTGTACATTAACAGAAGAAATATTTCAGATCTATTGGAAAGAGAAGGATTAAAGGACACTGACACTTTGCTAGGTTCAAAAGGACAGAAATTTCTTTGTGCAAATCTAGATTTCCAGCAAAAAATATCTGGAGTGCAGGAAGGAGAGGTGAAACCAGATCCCATTCCTGAAAGTATTTTGAGTTCTATATCTTTCCCCAACAGGGAACCTCTTCATTTAAAACGGGCAGTAAACAGAAAAAGGAAAGTAAATGTTAGCATCTCTATAAATTTACATGTAAATCCATGGAGAAAAGAACAATTAAAGTTAACCAATATTCCATTGACATCAAATAAACAGAAAACTAACTTTTCAAAAATATTAGAGGCAAAGCAACCAAACCTTCCTAGAGAAAATATTCTAGAATTGATTTCCTCTTGCCTAT